AAAATATGTAGTGTCTCTAACTACTGAAATAAGTAATTTACTTCTAAACCTAATCAATACAAATTATCTCTAACAAAATTTATTTAATAATTATACGTAAATTTAGTCAAACCTGCATTAAATAGAATAATGAATTTGACAATAAAATATTCACGTTGCATGAATGTTATGAAAATAGTAATTAATAATTGTAGCATCTTTAATACAATTTGAATAATTGAGCATTGGACTTGGGTTGAGATTCAAACTAAAATTGAGCTAATATTTGGGCCAAAATTTACAATTTCTCTTTAAGCAGTTTATATGGGCCGGGGGCACTTGGGCTGGGCTGTAGCCCAACAATGCCCCCCACTACCTCCGCCCATGATTCAGACTCAATATATAGCTACGCGTGTTAGCTTTTGGAGAGTAATCATGGTTTAAAAAAGGGAAAAATTCATAAATAAAGTGTATACTTTACACCAATTCAAAAATCAGGTTTTTTTTTTAAATTTTTATTTATGAAATAATAAATTATTAAATCAATTTATTATTAAATATTTAATTCTAATATAATATAATTAACTCATCCCACATGCACTACCCATACAGCTCCGGGCACTATTCCAATGACCATTTCGACCACCACTCTTCTCCGACGACCGTTCTGAAGACTGCTCCGATTTCGATAATTATTTCGGCTACTATTCCGGTGACCATTCTGGTCACATATTTACAATTTATGGTCACAGTTCAAAAATTTTATAAGTCACAATTAATTCGTCGGTCACAGATTTCAAAATTAGTTGGTCACAGATCGAAATTTATAGGTCACACAGTCATAGATTTTCAAATTAATTGGTTACATATTTTTGTACGGCCACAGATAAAAAAATAGTTGGTTACGGGTTATATTTTTAGTCACAGATTACCGAATTTTAAAGTCACAGATTATTTTATTGGTCACGGATCAAAAAATATATATGTCACACAGGTCACGTGTTTTCAAATTTGTTGGTCACAGATTATTTTTCTAGTTATAAATTATCAATTTTAAAGTCACAATTCAATAGTTAGGTCACAGACACCAAAATGAACGACCACCACCGATGGCCTGGCCACAAAACCACCACAACAATAACAAAAAACGACCACTACACCATCAGCAAAATCCACCACCATCGCGGCCGCTACATGGTTCGTCCCACTCCACCACCGCGGCCGCGACCGCAACCACCACCAACAACCACAACGACCAATTCACTTCTTCGAATCCGATCTGTAACAACCACAACTAGATTACATCTCTATACCATGTCACACACAAAGCACTCGCCACAACAACCACCATCACCACTGTCGACCACCGCACCCACGGCATAATAGATGAATAAAAAACAAAAAACGCCCAAAAAATCTAGGAGGCGCTACATATTTGAGTTGCAACAGAGCTCTGCCGGTGTTTCTAAGGCAATGCTACTGCTGCTCCGCTTTGAGCAGTGAGGCGACGCTACTGCTGCGTCGCTTGCAGCAGCCAAATAAGGGCGTTCGGACGTCGGTAGAGAGGTTGACAAGAGAGAAAGAAGCTAGGTCCTCGAGGAGGCGCTATTGCTGCCGCTTGTCGTCTTCAATTGGGATGGGTTTTAGTCCGATGATAGTGGATACGAGCGTCACTGCACCACCGCCAGCACCCTCCGCTGTGGTCTTCGTCGACGGTGGCCACGTGAGAGGGAGAGTCGGCGGGAAGAGAGAAAAAGAGGGAGATGAGAGTGGTAAAT